GATTGCCTGCGCTGCTAGCTCTAGTATATAGTAGTATTATAGGTGCTCTCTCGATGATTGATACGCCGCAGCGCGGAATTTCGTGAATGGCTATATTTTTTATATTACCGCATCGAGGAGTCGTACGTACGTGTGTATATGTGCCAAAAGAGCGCGCAATGAGAAATGTGGCCTTTTTTCACACGAGAGAGAGATCTCATGAGAAATCTGGCAATTAAATAATTGTCTCGCACTACTGCTCGGGTAATGTACTTTGAATCGCGGAGCCCTGTAGAGCCTGATATATCGAGATTCGATGTACATTTATAGATAAATAATAGGCAGCTCTTTCTTTTCGATACTATATACTCGTTTGCAAAATCGAATGGTATAATTCATAGTGTGCACTATGTGAGTGTGTGTGTATCTGAGTGTATATATCCCTCTGCAGATTCAGATGTCAAGGAAACGAATGGAGGAGGAAAATTTCCATGGGTTAATCTTCTCTGAATCGGGTTTTGCATGCGCGCGCGCGAGCTACCCGGCTCGGAAAAATCATTTCACGATGGCGCAGAAAAAGAGGAGAGAAGCCTCGAGTTTGACGAAAAAAAAAAGAAAGAAAGGAGTATATAACGGAGCTACAATAGAAAAGGGAGAAGAGAATTTCAAAAGACGGATTATATTTTATTATCCGAAGAGTAAAACATCGAGTCGAGATTTACTCACTCTGCGACTTTTGCAAATATTAAAGATTATAATGTATCATTTCTTTAGTAAATCTTCGGATTGTATTCATGCACGAATGCATGCCACGTCACATACACACACACACACACACACACAAGAGCTTCGTAATTTCCCGATAAATTCTTTGCTCTCGACGCGAATGATTGCTTTTAATTTTGTGTCGTCCGCCTCGTCGTTCGTCGAGAACTTTTCGATCATGTGCATTTCCCGAGCAGCCCCTTTGCCGAGATGTATACAAGATGGAACCTGCCAATGGGATAACAAATACATTCTCGGAACACAAGCAAGCTAGAGCTCGAGCAAAGTTTTTTTCGACTATATAGCAGCGACGAGCTAGCGTTGATAAATTCTTATTGATGATCATTCTTGGCCTTGTGCGCGCGCGCGAAGAGCACAAGTTACTTTGCCTGCGCACAAAAACTTTCTTCGCTGCCTGTATTTTTCGTGCTTCTTTCCTTCTTCGCTTCTTTTTATTTTCGTTCCGCATAAATAACGCAGTATGATATCTTGTTTATGTACTGAAACTTTTTCATTTTATCATGTAGTTAGAGGAGTCTCTCTCTCCGTGCGTCGACGCGCGCATTGCGATATTCCAAAGATAAGAGCGCGTTTCACTCGACTCGCGCGTAATTTGGAATTACTGGCATAATTTTAATTAACTGACGCTGCTGCTGTTATATACCGTGTGTGCTGCTGCTGTGGATTTTTCATTCTTGACCGAAAATGAAACGAGTTTTGTACTGCTGCAGCGAGCGTTGAATGTGTCATCCAAAGAAATTCAATCACAATTAATCATGCCCCGCTGCCGATGCTGCTGCTGTGTGTTGCGCGAATGTGTACACGCGGACGAACTAATAAAAACCAGTTCGACGTTCACTAGGCCATCGACGAGGACAAAATCTGTTTCAACCGACTATGGTATATGTGTGCGCGCACACGGGTCTCGCGCGAGAAGAATAAATCAGAGCTGCGCGATCCGTTTGATCGACTACGCGCGCGTGAATGTCAAACAGCTCTCTTTTGCCCCAGAAGAATGAAAATTCTCGATTGATCTGGAGAATGGAACTAAAATAAAAAAAAAAGGAAAAAAAGGAGAAAAGAGAAAAAAGAATTTCGCGATCGAGGCGGGCTCGTAATTTTAAAACTCTGCTGCTGCTGCTTCGATTTGAATTAAGATAACCGTTTCAGTTTCTTTTTAAGGCATCAATTTTTAAACTTCGCTCCTCCTTTAGGCGCATATAAAAGGCTCGGAGACCTTTTGCGTATATGCGTGTCTTAATCCCTCGTTATACAGTTACTTGAGATAAACGAGATGGCTATGCGCTGCACTCCGAGTTCGCCCTGTCTCCCTACCTCTCGCTCGTTCACTCGTTCCGTTCGTCTTCGGGTAATAAGGCGAGAAAGAAACAATTCCTCATCTCTCTTTTCCACTCTTTTTCTTTTGCTGTACTTCTACTATTTGAATGAAATAAAATAAAATGAAAAAATAATAAAAAAATGATGGAGCAAACGATCTCAACTCTTCTTTTCTTTTCTTTCTTCTAGTCCACTTCGTTTTATATAAGCAAAAATTCTTTTGACACGATCATTTTCCCAGCAGTATGCAGCAGTGGCAGTTAGACTCTTGATTGAACATTTTCCATTCGTTCCTCGGTGTCGACTTTATTTTGCTTGCTGGTCGCCCACCGACCCCCGTTCTCCGCGCGCTTGTATAACGAGGAACGAAAGCATTTTTCTACCTAAAATGGAGCTTGTTTTTCGAGAGAGTGAGAGAGAGAGAGAGAGAAAGAGAGCTAACAGGGAAAGCAATTCAATTTCGAATTAAAGCGCAAAAGCATGGGGGTGGGCATTTGCACCGGGGGTTGAGACGATGTTTAGTGCCGCTGACATGGCTTTTTCATTGCTTATTTATATTCCGAGGCAAAAATATCAAAGAACAAGCAGCAGCAGCGCCCAGCAAGCAAGAGCCGCCCGAAATAAGAAAGAAGGGAAAAACTTTCGTTTAAGGATGCATTACCGAGCGCGGCACAAACGGGATATATATTATATACACCATCGAAATAGCACCTGTTACACATCGTGTGTGTATGTGTGTGTGTGTTAGTAAGTGTACGTGTGTGAATGTGTATCGTCTCGCGCGCGTTCTCGCGATTGATTTATATTTCTCGCTTATTCCGCGAGAGATCGTTATACGCTGTGCACATTTCCCTTTCACTTTTAAGCTTCTTCTTTGCCGGCGATTTTCTCATCGCCGTTGCACAACACCGACTTTTCGGGGTAAAAAGAAAAAGAAATAAGTAAATGCCTTCGACAAAAAGGAGAGCGTACAGTATTATAGAGTATGCAGAGAATTGGATTTCGAATGCATACTACGATTTCGCGCGCACTGCTACTACACTACTATAGGCACTATAGTATGTAGGAAATGAAAACGTAGGTATATCCCATTTAATGCTCCCGCGTATAGTATATACCACCGCCGCGCGCGTTCGAGGTCATAAAATATGCAACTATACATAAATTCAATTCGAAACCGTTACGGATTCAATTTATAAAAAAAAAAGAAAAAAAAAAAGAAAAACGGAGTATAAAGAAAGAAGTGCAAAGAAGAGTAAAAGTAAACGCGCGGAAGCTAAAGCGTATTCATTTTGTTGAAACAACACGAAGCCGCCTAGTAGTATCGAGTCTAAAAGATTCAACGTCTACAACAGCAGAGAGAGAGAGAGAGAGAGAGAAGGGGCTCTAGACGTTCCTATGCTATATACTAGCCATTTTCTTTTCTGACGCGTCTTTTTAAAGAGCTTTCACACACCGAACGCGCTAACTTCGCGCACAACGAAGCCAAGAGAAAGAGAGAGAGAGAAAGAGAGAGTAGTGAGTGCGAGTGAGTGAGAGGAAGAAGAAGAATAAAAAAAATCCAAAGCGCAACATAGAGAAAAGTCGCCCTTGTATCAGCTCACACACATACACACATACACATGCACACATGCTCTTCTTAGCCTGCAAGCTTCGAGCTCCTTTTTTCTCTCTATCTGGGTTAAGTTTTCTTCGCTGTTGAAATTCTCGCGGCTTAAACACGCTTTTACTTCTAGACAGCGCGCGCACACATAGACACATACATTGAGAGCTCCAACGTCCAGATTTTACATGTAGCACCCGAGGAAAAGAGGATTGGATTCTCGCGAACTATATACGTGCCATTGCACCATATATTTATATGGGATTCTTCTCTTACGAAAATGATGTTTTCTGTACTTTATTACAATGGGTGCAGGCTGTATAATTTGTAATAAACGAAAAAAGCGAGTATAAATTAAAAGAATTTAAAATTAACTAAATTCAGTGGACTATCATTCTTGACTCATTGCCAAAGGATTTCTCGTTGCAGCGTTGATAAAGTTAATTCGATAAAATTAAACTCGACTGCACACGGGAAAGTTGTTGTCGCCGTGGTCGAAAATAGCACTTCAAAACAGAGAAGCAAATTTTTCTCATTATTCAGGCTTGAGCGCGTTTCTTATACTCTTTCTCTCTGTTTATTATAATAGGCTTGCCTGTCAAGACATTTTCTTGCTGTGTCATTTTTAAGTCATCTCGTTAAGCAGCAGTAACAGCAGTGTGCACAGGAGCTTATCAAAACTAAGCCTCGTTGGATCGTGCACAGAGTAGTGGTAGACGTCTACGCGCGCGCTTGATTAGTACATATATACCGATACCGAAGCTTTAAATACGTGCGGGGGTATAGATCGGCTTGACGAGATGCGCGCACGAGCTCGCGGGCAAAGAAGCAATTTTCTATAGTAGTGCACTGCTCGACGTGTGTGCTGTGTGTGTGTGCGTACATACACACAACACAAATACTCGCGCAGACAAATAAAGGAAAAGAAACAAATGTTTTTCATCTTGTGTCGAGCGGCCCGTATAGTATTGGCAGCGCAGAGCGAGCTGAGATTCGATTTTATTGGAAGTAAGGATTTGCGCTGCAGCGAAAAGAGACGATTTCGACTTTCTTCGGCGTTGCTGTTACTACTGCTGCTGTAGCCGCTGCTGCTGTTTGCACAGAAGTGCACAATATATGTCTGTGTGTGTATATATATATAAAACGATGAGAGAGTATATACACACATCGTGCCGCTAGTCGCAATTTTTATTATGTCTGCGATTGTTTTCTTCTTTTTATCGCGCAGCGCGCAGTATCGATTCGACGTTGTAAAAGAGTCTCGAGAATAATACGAAGCTATAGTAGTAGCAGTAGCAGTAGTATAGGTACTCACCGTTGATACGCAGTTGTGACTCGGCGATATGAAGTCCAGACCCCGCTCGCCCTCGCCGCTGAAGCACTTCTGTATGTTGCTCATGAAGCGCCGCCTGATGGCCTTGAGCGAGTAAACGCAGAGGGCCGACTGGTTCTTGGGCTTGCTGCTGTTGGGGCTGTCGCTCTCGGCGAACACGGCGAACAGCACGTCGTCCTGGGGCGTGTTGCCGAGGTCGCCGGCCAGCACCGAGCCCGCCTTGCCCATGTAGGCGGCCTGCACGAGGTTGTAGGTCTTGCCCTTGCTCGACGTGCACTCGATCGGTATCTCCGTGTAGGAGTAGTAGTGCTGGTCGTCGTGGCAGACGCGCACCAGCTTGGAGATGTACACGGCCGTGCTCGTGGACTTGAGCTGTGTCGTGAGGAAGTAGCTGAAGCCCTCGCTGCTGAAGCCGTAGATGTAGTTGATGGGGTAGCGCTCGCGCGACAGCGAGTTGACGTACATGCGGGTGCCCGTGGTGACCGCCGAGTCGGCGATGTTGAGCATGCGGTCGCGATCGAGCGACCTGGAGCTCACGGCCGGCACCTCGGAGCGGTAGGGCGAGTTGCCGGTGTACGTGACGCCGACGTACATGACCTGCGAGACGGGCGGATTGGGCGGGCCCGGGGCGATGAAAGCCACCGTCGAGGCGGTGGCGTTGTTGGCCACCACGGGCTCCTTGACCACCTGCACCACGTCCGAGATGTTGTGCAGATTGCGCACGTCGCACATGCCCTGAAAATACCATACGAGACAATTATTAAACGTGTTTTGGCAGACGAAACTTTTCGTTGACCTCGTGCAGGAGTGAACGAGCGAGGAGGAGGATGTTATATATAATGTATATATAACGTTTATAACGGCCTGGCCTTGCCATGCAAACTTTCGCGAGCGGACGCGGGCCATACAACAGGTTGTAGCCGCTGCTGCCGCTGCAGAGATAGTTTTCGTCGTTGGCCGGTTATACACGAGCCTCGAAACGCGAGCGAGCGAGCTGTACTTGACATTTTTTACAACGATGGCAAAAACCGACGTGTATACACGCGCTGGCTACTCGACTAGAAGTTACTTTTCTTTTTTTTCTTTCTCTCTCTTTCGTTTCCTTTTTTTTCGTTACAATAAGTTTGCGCAAGCGAAAAAGTTAAACGAGGTCTTGGGCTTAAAGTTTTTAAATAAAAAAAAAAACGCCAATAACCGGCGCGATGAGTCGAAGAAAATATTTTTTTGACGCGATCGTGACGTAAAATTAGCGCGCCAAGCCTCGGAGCAGTACATCGGAATACATCCTCGGCATTGTTGCTGCTGTTCTCGTGCTGCAGTAAGGGCCGACTCGCGACGACGAAAATAAAAGAGCTCCGAGTCACGCTCGAGCCTCTCTATATGCTAGCTGGTAGTAGCATGCTTGACTTTATATGGGAATTCCTTATCTGGATTGGGGGATTCTGTATGTGCTATTCTATTTGGCTTTTGTCTTACTCCTCCAATGGCGTACGTATACGTATCTCGTGTACTCTGCCTCTCGCGTATTCGCAACGTGTACGTTGATACACGATACAATACAAAATGAAAATACGCACGCGCCGAAAATGCCTCGCAGCGTTTTGATATTTATACGCCCGTGGACGGAAAATATTTTTACGCAATAATAAATGCCAGCAGCTCGTCGATTCAATTGTTACACATCGTTGCTCTCTCTCTCTCTCTCTCTCTCTGTATGCATCTTGCTCTCTTGGGGCACACACAAACACACACATATACACGCTCGATCTATTTATATGTTTACGCGAATGAATTTTATATATGCAAAAGCGAGAGCTAGCCGCCCGTATCGGTGGAGCTTCAATTAGCCGCGCGTCGATTTGTTAGCTCGCTCGCTCTCTCGTTATAATAAATTAGTGTAGCTGCCGCGCATAAATTTCGCGATAAAAAGGAGGCCGAAACAAAAAACCAACGAATTGGCGCATCGATTACATACATTATATAGACGGTGGGATCATCGTCGTATAAACACGCGAAATATATATAAAATAAATCGATTATCAAGGGTCAAAAGTTCAAACTTTCTCGCCGCGGCAGAAAATTGATCGACTTACGTCACATCCATAAACACACACACATACATGAATATGTGCGCTTATAATGTAAATAGAGTACGTGCGCGCCTCGTATTGCCGCATTATAAGAGAGCTCACTGCTGCATGCACGAATGTCAAAGGTCGTCGAACCCGCGAGTTGGCTCGTGCATCTCCTCGCTCAACTTTCACTCCTGCGCATTCGAGTACCACGGTATAAACTCGAGGTTGTTGGCTGGTATATGTCTTACCTGAAACAGGCTTCCGCACGATATGAGCCTGGTGGTGGTGTAATCGATGACGAGGGCCTTGTTGACGTTGTCCAGGAGCTTCCTCATGCTCTCCGGGCAGTCGATCATCGAGCACTCGGTCGAGTCGTTCTTGGGCCCGGTGACCTCGCGCACCACCAGATTCAGATCCGGGGAGAGCTGGTAAAGACGATTGACGGCGCCCACGTAGACGCGGCCCGTGTTCTTGTCCACCACCAGGTGATTCATGCGGTGCACCTGCTCGTCGTGGAACTGGGCGACGACGACCTCCGGCCGGGCCGCCCGGGCGCAGCTCGACAGCTGCAGCAGCAGCAGCAGGACGAGAGCCGGCATCGTGGCCATTGTGGTGCTTTTTGTCGACGTCATTCTGGACCCTTGGCACATCCTAGCCTCGATGGATGCACCTTAGGTCGTTACCTGTGCGAGAGGAACAGAAAAAACAAGATCAAAATTAGTTCTCTGCTTCAATTACATTACACTGTGTGTTATGTCGGTTGTTTTATTGTTGGAAATAACGGTATATTATACTCGTTCAATTCAAATGACGTTTATATCAATCAGTAAATGGGACAAATATTTGCTCTTTCGTTTCGTTATTTTTTTTCATTCTGCCGTAGTAGCGTCGTTATTGCATTGGTAAATGGACGAGGCCACGCGCGCGCAGCGCGTGTACATAAAGCTGCAGCAGCAGCAGCAGCATAATAGAAGGGTCTGGCTTTTCTATCGCATCAATATCAGCTCTCGCCGAGCGAGTATATATAGCGAGTAGCGCGCGCGCGAGTAGGGATAAATTTTAACGAACGTTTTGCGCGCGCTGCGCTCCGTTGCTCAATTAAACTTTATCGATTGAAAAAGCAACAAAAAAAAATCGTGCGTTCGTTAAAATATATACATGCACGTGCATACAGCAGCAGCAGCTATGCAACACAGCGGAGGCCAAATTGGCCCGTGCTGCCGAAAATTCATTTTCACAAATCATGAGAATTCGCGGGTCATCGAACTAAACTGGCCGGTCTATTATCGAGGATTTATCGTTATTAGTATTACACGTTTACGCGGAGTGTATAAGTTATTAAAGCGATATGTATATCGAAGGGTGGGCAAGAGGCAAAAGGAAGCGAACCGAAAAAAAAAAAAAGAAGAAGACCACGCCCCAGTCAACTGATTATAAATCGAGGCACACTGCAGAGGGCCGGGGGAGTACGTAGTACCTTATTATGCGCCACCGAACAAATTTTGGAATATACACACACATAACAACAACGACGACGACGACCACAAAAGAGAGCACACGGAGCTACAGCGTACTATACAGGCACGTATATAAAAGCGTGGGGAGAGAGGGCTTATAATAGAGCTTGCGGATTTATGTATTACACACGCTTTTCGCAGGTGCCGTTACACGCGCGGCGGCAAACTTGATTTCTTCTCTCTCTCTCTCTCTCTCTCTCTCTCTCTCTCTCTCTCATGCTGCTTCTCTTTGCCAGCTTGTATTATGGTGGCGATTTCTTAATCTTATACCGTGCACAACAGTGTGCAGCAGCAGCAGCAGCACACAGTATAGAGGCCGAGCCCTTGTGACGTGATCACGCGCACTAAAACCGTTCCGGCCGTACCTGATCGCTTCTCTATCTCTCTCTCTCTTTGGTGCAGCTTCGGCTTTTCTCTCTCTCTCTCTCTCTCACTCTCAATCTAATGGATTAGTTGAATTGCTCCTCGCAACGGTATATAATACAATCGAAACGTGTAAGCGGGAGCAAAGAGGTTTTTTCTTTTTTTCGTTTGGGCTTGTTTTTGTTGCATCGAATTTTTTAAAAGAGAAGAGAGAAAAAAACACAAACACAAACACACACACACACACACACACACACACACACACACACACACACACACACACACACACACACCCGTGCATCAGCAGAGCTATTTCTCGGATGGCCCGAGCGTCGTATAAACTTGGGCTTTATATATCTATTCGCGTCAGGGTTAGTGCGTGCAATTGCAATAAAAGCTCGGAGATCGCCTCTCCTTCTCGCTCGTGTTTAATTGGAGAAAGAGAGTCGGAGAAAAAGAGCGAGAGATAAGGACCGAGGAAGGAATAATGACATTTTCCAAGTTTTCGTTAGCTTGATTTCGACGTTTTGTATATATATAGCACCGAAAGAGCGCGGAGCACTTTCTTCTTTTTTTACTGTGCGAGTATAAGTTTCATAAATCGACTCCAAGCCGGGGAAATGAGAGAGCAATGCATTTTCACGAGTAGAGAGAGAGAGAGAGAGAGACCGCGTCACGCTAATTTCGTCTCTCAAAGTCTAATCTACTCTCTCGGCGCGGTGTTTTGCATTCTAATATCAATATTAATCTCAATAATGTACTCACGGAAATACACGCGAGAGCGCACAAGCCGCAACTGTTTTTTTATTATTATATCAAGCGAAAATCCTATATTATGCAGCAAGAAGTGAGAGGTAGAAAAAAAGTCACCCAGTGGCCGGGGTGCTGCTGCTGCTGCCACTACACATGCACGCACGCATAAATAGCAAACACGCGTACGTACGTACACCCGCGCGCTGCATAATGTTCCATAATACCGAAGGAAGCAAAAGCTGTGTGTGTGTGCCACATACACGCGAGCCCGGCGCACGTTATCTCGGGGCTGGTATTGCTCACACATATGCACAAGTGACTGCGCGAAAAGCTAAAAAACACCGAGAGAAGCTCCGCGTGCTATAACAACCCCCCGATTCCGAACGTTCATAGTACGTACATGCATATCGCCACGCGCACCGTAGAAAACGTGTCGAATACGTTTATATATGTACGCAATGTGCTGCTACAACACTGTTGCCTGTGTTGTACTGCGCTGCACTGCAGGTATATATGTATAGGCTCCACGCGGCTGACATGTCAGTCACGCGTTGCACGATATGCTAGCTTACCTCGGCGTTTTTGACACTTGACCGATTAGAAAGAAAGAAAAAAGAGTAAAAAATAAACCCTCGTGAACAATTTTGTTTGACAAAATGGCAGCGATAATATTCTAATGATTTATTCGACGTTACAAAGTTGCGCGACTTTTGGTACATTTAAAATAAGTTGAAAATCTATAATCTTCGTGAAATAGATAGATAGATTCTTCGTGAAACATCAAAATTAACAAATTTACTGCATTTTGACTTAACCAATATGAATTTGTCATTTTGAAAGACAATAATTCAGTTTATTGAGAACTAAGGCAAGAGTGTTCAAAATTCCACTTGTGTTATATTCAAGCACGCGGTCGTTCAGGAGTTACCACTAGATGGCGTATGGCCGATTTTTGTAAACCAAACGAGAAGAAGCAAAGTCTTAGCATTAAGTAAATAAATTCGCCGTCGTATTTTATTTCCAAGCTGTATCTAGTTTTGATTTTTACAGTTTTAAATGATTCAAAAATCGCACAGATTAATTTTTCAAAAATATTTCTCCATTTGAATTATGTATCCGATATATTATCATAGCAGGAATGCGACACATTTGTGCCCAGCTATTTTAATTTCAATCCTCTTTCTCATATAATATATATTACATATCAATATTGGCATCCGAAAAGAGGAGGGAAGGAAGGAAAAATTTCATCGGGGCCGAGCGCGGCAATCGATAAATAGCTATACGGACACAGAAACAGCAGCAGCTGCTATATTAAACAAACCCTCCAAAGAAACCTCATATAGTCCTCTCTCTCTCTCTCTCTCACTTTTCTCTTACATAAAAGAGAGCGAGAAAAATCGTACAACGAGCTTCATATCGTCGCGCGCGCTCATGGAGAGGGAAAAATACCAAAGATCGTCGTCGTCGTCTCTCGCCATCGAACATTCTTTTAAGAAACGACAATAAAGCAGCGGCAGTAGACAGCAGCAGCAGCAACTCAGGAGGACAAAAATATCTCGGCACACACATCTTTATATACCTATAGGTATATGAAACAAAAGATGGTTAAGAGAAAAATGAGGGGGGCGATTTATCGAATTGAAGCCCGGAGCTCACCTCCGTCTCTCGCTCACTTTCTTCTTTTTCCTTTTAACAAAATGAAAATTCGCTCGCGATACTCCAAAGGGACTGCACTACTATACGGAGAATGTGTCGGAGCTTACGAAATGAACCTAATACTCTATCTAGCTCGTAGCCGAGTACCGAACTGCAGTTCAGGATACAAGCAGTAGTGGTAGTAATAGTAGTGGCAGCAACAGCAAGTCGAGTTTGGGAAACTTGCGCTCGGTATATATCTCTCTGCCTGCTTTTCTTAAGAGGCATTAGGCGAATCGATATTACATTAAGATGTGCAGTTTCGCGCGCGCGCGCGAGAGAGAGTGCCAAGTTTCTAGATGAGCTGTCTATACATGCCACGGCTAGAAGCTCGCACTACTACTCGATACTCCCTTCACTGCACGGACAATGCCGCGATTTTTTAAAAGCTCCCTGTACACGTATACCATCAATCAGAACGGTCCCTCTCTCGTGGCGTGGAATTTTCTGGCACTGCCACGCGCGAGTGAGGCACTTATTAAACGCAGAAAGTCGTCGGCTCGGGATTTTTTCAAAGCTATTAGCGAAAGTGAAGAACGCGAGGTGAGCGAGCGAGCAGCGAGCAGTGCGCACAGTGCGAGAGAGAGATGAAAAGTAAAGTTTCGCTAAGAAGCGAAAATTTCGTTAAAGCAGAGGACAAATACACACTTTGGCTTTTAAAACTTTCTCTCGCGCGCAGCAGTCAGCAGCGCGCGCGCGGGCGAGGTGCACTGCAGCGGCAGCGGCGCAGGAGGTAAAAAGGGAGGCTCTGCTGATGCTGCCTCGGCATTCATATATATAATACGCGTATATACACACATACACACTCAGCGCGGGCTGTCGGCAGCGGCGTGACAGCAGCAGCGACAGCGGCACAAGTCATGCAAATTGTCCAGCTTAAAGTTGCGAAAAGCTCTTGAACAAATATTTTCGTCCTTTCTCTCTGGCAAGCGCATTAAAGTGCCCGACTATTGCTGCCAGTGGTTGGCCGATTGCAGAGCACTGCACAGCGCTGCACACAAAAAAGCTCACCTAACTGCGTGCACGCCCACGAAAGCTTTCAATAATAAGCATTTAATAACGGGCACAGCGAGAGAGAGAGAGAGAGAGAGAAGCTCTTTCAGGCATTATTGATTGATCAATCAATTGCCGAGCTTGCGCGCAAGCTCACATCGCTCTGGCTGCACTGCCGCTGCTGCTGCTGCTGCGCGAGAACAATAACGTAGAGTCTCGTCGAGGTAACTATTATACCCTCGAGAGTACAGCAGGGCTGTGTGCAACAGAAGCACTTACTCGTCTTTCTCCAGCAAGAGAGAGAGAGAGAGAGGAAACTATACAACAACAGTTCAACAAAAGTAGCAGAGCGAGAGAGA